TTTTTTTTTTTTACTGGTTTGTCGAATTATCTGTTCAGAAACATAAACAGATGCTGGCATCTGAACAGTCATCATTAATACCATCTAAAGTCACCTGAAAAGGCAGTGTTGTTTGGGCATCAATTGCTAACCGGAATTTACTATAATTATTGTTCTTCCTTCTTTTTTTCTTCGAACACTATTTAGTTGTTTAGATAAGCTGTTAGTTGCTTAAATAATGACTGTCGGAGGGTTGAAAACGTTAGTTTTTCACTGGCATTTTTTTTTATCTGTTGTTGCTGTTGATGATAAATAACTGTTCATTGGAGTAGAATTCAGACCGGATATTGTAGTACTGTGTAGTCAGTTGGTAGGAGATGAATTTTCGGAAATTTTCTTAATGCAAACAAATTTTTTTCAAAAATATTTTAAAATTTTCATTTTTTGAAAAACTTTACAATTTCAATGACACTTTTTTTTGTTAATGAATATATTATAAATTTTTTTTGCGTAATTCAGTTATTTTTTGTTGTTCTATTATCATATTTTAAGACTAATATTTTAAAGGTGCTTAAATGGTAAGCAGTTTAGAAAAGAATACAGTAATGTTGAAAACTGGTTTTTACAGCTGTAGCTGTTTTAGCAATCCGCTGCACTTCCAAATATTAGAAATTTTTGGAAGAAGAATATATCTTCTGCAAAAAAACTTGAGCGTTCAGTTAAATTTTCAATATTTTGATGCAATAAATAATTATTAAGGTTTTACTTGCTAAAGTAGCTTTTTTATTCGTTGATCTATTTAGACAGTTTGTTACTCAGTTGAGATTTTTTCAGATGACAGGAAATAACTGACGTTTTTACATAAAATTTACAGCATTTATTTTGTTTCATATTAATTTACTTTTTTTTTTCAACTATCCAATCTGTTTTTCTGTATCTTTACAATTTCAGTTGATTTGATATTTGAGTGCTTGAATTGAGGAAAGAACGAAAAATTTTTGTAATCTGATTAACGGATGAGTACAGTGAAATGTATGACGGAAGTTGTTTTGATGCTCATCTTAGGGAAGACTGATATTGGGAATGTGCCATTTTCCTCAACAAAGCGATGAGTCATACGGAAGTGAATAATTTAGTCCTTTCCTTGGCCAACATTACATCTGCCCACAGTTCTGTTGTGAATTGTCGGTTTCAGTTTTTTTTTAGTTGACAGGTGGATTTTTTCGTACACTTGTCGACTTTAAAGTTTTTTGTTAAGAAAAGAAAAGCGAAAACAATTTGCCTGCCTTATTTTAGACGTTTAGTCCAATTTATTCATGAGAAAATATTTTATCTGTAAACATGATGATTAGATAAAAGATGGTACTGTCAGAAATAGACACACACACACACACACACACACACACACACACACACATACAGACATAAACGTACACGAAACTACATTGCAACGATATTCGTATCAAGTTGAGAAAAAAGCAATAATATTCAAAATTAAAAAAGCATAGCAATGGCAATATGATTTTTATATTTGCAATATTTTTAAACAATAAAGATAGAGAGAAAAAGATCATTGAGTAGGGAGGGGGGGCGAAAGGTTGTAAGGAGGTTTTAGATTTTTTACCGCAAATCACTGCATTTATTTTTAAACATATAACTTTGATAAATGAACACTATGAGACTCCTGCTATTATTTAAAAAAAAAAAACAGATTTTTCTTCCAATAATCCTAGACAGTTTTGTAAAAGTTGGCAAGAAAAAGAAGAGGAAAGACAAATATTTAATCTCATTAACATATCTGTTATAACGTTAAAAATGGCAACTTTCATCTGTCGTTAAACTTTCTGCATCGAGAATTGTTGGACAATTAACGTCAAGAACAGCTACTGATGACCTGAAAAATATGCAAACTACTTGGTTGTCTAAAAATATTTGCTAAGAGGAATTTTTTTGGTAATTAACAAATTTTATCGGCAATAATTCTAGAAAGAAAATTTTTTTCCTTACGAATGTGGAAGTGAAAATGTTCGACGCAAAGAGCTTTGTCTCTCTGGCGGTGGAGACCTTCCCATAAGATATGTTGTATGAGATCGTGCTCGTTCATATGATGGTGGCAACAAATCTGAAAATATCTGAAACACAATTTTTTTGAACCACATTCAGTAAAGCAACAGATCATTGTTGTATTGGTAATGAGAAGAAAAAGAAGCATAACAAATACTACAGTAAAACAAACCTTCACAAACAAAGGCAACGGTATAGGAAGGTGGTTTGACATTCTCCATTGTTAAAGCATCTTCATATTTTGGTAAACATCTGTCTGTTTCCAAAACAAAGACGGAAGGAGATACTTCACGTGTACCTAATAAAAAAAAGAATTCATAACAGCTTCGTTTCAACTGTCTAGACTGTTAAACTACAAGATAAGTTAAGTTACAAACAATAAAAATAGCATCTTCCTAATACAGTAACAAACAGAATTAATACCAACTAAAAGTTGTTGACAAAAAAAATTATATACTTGCTATTGATAAACAGTTCTGTGAGAATAAACTTTTTATTCACTTTTTTCCCAGTATAAAGCATTTTAGGGACCACTTTTTACTAAGAGCTACTCTAGCTTAGAAGGATGAAATAGAGCAAATCCAACGATCGAGAAAACAAGAGAAACTGTGACAAGCAATTTTTTTGGTTGTAAAACTTAGTTTTTTCTTACAAAAAGAGTGTCCCACAACTACCACAGTTACTGCCACCAAGTAGTATTGTATATGGCTCCACATTCTGTATCACAAATTAAACAATATAGTTTCTATATCTTATCCCGTTGCGCAACCTAGTTCTTGTTGTCAGATGCCATAATAAGTACCGTCCCACAAACCTCGCAAATACTTTCACGCATATGTCATCCTTTTTGACATTTTTACTCCTCCATTTTTGCCACTGTATTTCGTAAGTAGCTTTTAGAGATTTTCATTTTTGCACAAAGAAAGGTCTTCTTTTTTTTGCCAGAAAGTAACATCAGTGCCAACTGTGGATCAGTAAGAACAAGTTTGTGATTTGTCCTCAATCTCAATGATTAAATCCGGCGAAAAGTTTAGGCAAGTAAAAAGCTTAGAGAGCCCAGCAAAGAGAGTGATGACCCTTCACGCCCTCTTTAACGGGTAATAAAAGCAGTGGTAAAGGATGAAGCAAAAAGTGAAAACAGAGCTCAAAGAAGTTTGAAACAGTCAATTTTTATCATAAATTCAAGAAAAAAATTAAAGTGAAGTAAACAAAAAAGGCTAACAGGATAACTAATACATTTATTATTCCTCCTATTAGCCGCTGGTATCATAAAATACTGAATGAAAATTGCTGAAAACAGCGCATTTCTGCTCGATATATTGCAGAATAACTTGTTGGCCATCAGTATGTTAGCTGGCTATACTTTGATACCTTTAATAATTGTTGCATGCGACTGATTCCATTACGTTTCATATTTTTTAAACTCATTTTCCTTCCCCTCCATAATTTCGTTTCCTCGCAGAGACTTCCCTCTAGAGAGCGGAAGGATAACAGAGAAGAAGCTGGAACCTTTATAAAGGAAACTTCTTCTGCTTTTTATTTGCGAGGATCAACCTTACTGTTCAGTAATTAAGTCTTCACATGTTAACAACTTTGCATAATGAAAAAGGGTAAGGACAACTAAATTTCAAGCTTAGTTAATGCGTTATAATAAACATCGTTATACTGTTAATGATACAACTTATCAACTAAAACTGACCAGCTTTAACTGAAACTTTAATGCTTATTACATCAAGATATAAAATTTTTGCAACGCAGGTCTGCTTGTTGCCTGATAATTATTTCATCATAAGAATAAGAAGTTGTTTCTGAAAGTGATCCACAAAGCAGAAACCCCTCTGTATTCTAAAGTACATCTAAGTTTTTCCATCCGTTTTATGTAATGTCACTCTTCACTTGCGTAGTATAAAAATATATAGCAAACAAAACATAATGAAGAATTTTTAGCAGTTTCTTTAAGCAGCAGTGCTTTACGTCCACTAGAGCAACTATATAGAACAGTATAAACTGAAGACAGTTCTACCACAAACGCCTCAAAAAACTTTTTAAAATTCCTCTTTAGAAGGCTCAAGATAATAAGAAGGTGTTGCAAAAACTTTTTTAACACTCATATCATTTCGTCAAACTGACTCAGGCTGAAGACGCTGCAATTCGCCGCTTGGCATCTTAATCGTCGAACGAACTAACAATAGCTGGCGAACTGGACAAAGCTGAATTTAAGTTAGAATTTAAGACAATTTTCAAATGCTATAAAAAGGGTTTTTTTCGACTTTTTTGTGTGCTTTTGCGCATAAAACTGCACAACATTTCCTTCTGCCCAAAATAACAAACAGTTGGTTGAAAAATGTCGAACTTACTGTCTGAATCGTAGCTTGGAGGTGGAACTTCCGGTGATGGAGGGACAACGTTTTGTCGCATAAGATTGCGGCGCAGTATTATCCTTCTATGGCGGTAACGACGTCTCCTCCGAATTCCTTCAATTACGCATATTTTTATGTACTCCATATAAGTTAATCTCCAATAAAAAGGATCCTTTTTTCTCTTCCAAAAAATCGCTAACGCAGTATTATTAGTTAAATAGAAGTAAGTAATTTTTAAAAGTAATTTTTTGTAATCCCGTTAATTTCATTAAAGACACCAACAATAACAGGAAAGAATTATTGGTAAGTGAAAAAATTTAAGGCGCTTTACTTTTTGACCACTTTCAAAAAATTATATCATTTTTCAGTTTTTATAAGGACAAGAAACAAAACTGAAAAGCATAAACAAATTTTTTTTAATAAAAGAGGATTCATGGGAGAAGCGGCGCTGTAAACAGAGAGGGAGAGGGGAGCGGGAGGGGGGGGGGGAAAAAAAAGAAAGAGTTGTGTTTTATTTATCAACTCAGAACACATTTTCTGTGATCTGTTTAGAAGACATTAGAAGGTCTGTTCCTGCTTTATTACGTGACGACGTAATAATGCACACAAATGTCGCTTGTTGTAATACCCACAGGCTTCATCCAGGAAGGGTCGTGAAAACGATACGTAATGCAGTTATTTTAATAGCTCCTTTATATTTGAACAAAAAAACTGTCCAATGTCATCCGTTTAATCAGTGTCACAAAATGCTCTCATCATTTTGATTTCCACTTAAAATTGCTAACGGTAAAAAGAGTGAATAAAAATTTATTAAATAGATTTTCAAATTCCTTTCTTGGAAAGCACGTTTGCAAAAACTGAGGAGCCGATGGATTATTCTTCTGAAAACATTACGAAATTGGAAGTTGGCAATCCTGGATGGCAACCCGCTAAAATATTTAATTCCTGTATGCTACTGCTACAGGGTATCAAAGACGTAGCGGTACCAAAAAAAGTCTGCACCGATGTCCACTATGGTCTACGCTCGGCAAAATCTTAATTTTGAAATAGTGCTTTTTTAAAACTTCCGAGTGAACTCACTTTATGTGAAAAACTAAATACAAATTCCTACCACTTTTTTTTTTTTGTTTTACATCAATTTCTCTCAAAGGTTATTCTTTTTTAGAACCAAATTAATTTACCCCAGTAATGGTAAGAGAACATGTGTAGCTTATCCTGGAAAATTACATTCCGGTAAAGAAAATTTATTCTTCTCTTAAGCCATCGTTGAATTTTAATGCGGTTAATGCTTAGAAGTCCATGTTTTGAGCAAATGAATAAACTATTAACAGAGTACTTCTAATAAATAAGAAAAAAATCCGTTAGTTTCGGCTTAACATAGAGCAAAAAAATGTCTACGAAACGAAATCAAAATAAGGCGTTCTTTTGTGTCGTAAATTGTTAAAGCGCATTCACTGACGTCAGTGAAATTATGTCAGTTTTTGCCGATGTGGTGTGTTAGCGGTAGTCACCAAAATTTTGGCTAAGCATCCAGCTAAAGTTCGCGCTATATTTGTCCCAGGTAATGCGAAACCTGAGGTTTAGAACATATTGAAAGAGTAAAAAGTGATATGAAAATAGCTCTTTTTTTTTTTTTTTTTTTTTTTTTTTTTTTTT